GGCTAAGCTCACAACTAAAAATATAGGAAGTGTTTCCCCAGGTTGAGCCACCCAGGTACTCACAGACTACTGCAGCTGCAGCACAAGAGGGCCAGGGCTTAAGCAGTAGCAGAATTGCATATGATCTCTATGATATTCAGATGCAAATTACAGGTTCATAGAGGCTCCCACCAAAATTCCAGGGAAAAACCCGTGAAGCAAGTCAATCAATGTGCATAGAATCAGATTCCATGAGGGAAACTCCTAACAGGTTAATGCATAAAACTGGGCAAAGGAAGCCTAAGTTGTAGAAGAGACCCTAAGATATTGAAGATTCTAGGCATGAAGAATATCTGTGAGCTTGGAGTTCAAATCATGCCACCACATACCTCTAATGGCATCCATGAATCTATAGGATGTGCTGCTTGCTCCAGTAATTCCAGTCTTGTTTTGGTCCTAACTTTCCTTGATGCCCCATTTCTCCTTGGAATAATGTGATTTTCTTTTTATTTGTTCAGGGATTCATAGCTAAGAGTTGGCCTTGAATCTCAGTGGAGTCTCTGGGCTTAAACCTTTGACCATTATCAGAACAGTTAAGACAATGGGTACGTTTGCAAATAAACTAAGTTCATTTGTATTATAAGATTAACATAAGCCTTTGGATGACAATAGTGTAAGTTTGTGGTTTGACTCTAAAATACTCCACACAGGCTCCATGTTTTGAACATGTATTCCTCAGTTGAGAAGTCTGTAAATTTTGGGAGGCAGAGCCCAACTGAAGGAAGTAGGTCACAGGGGGAGGGGATGCTCATTTCCCACCTTGCTCTCTGTTCTTTGGTCTGCTCTGGTGTGAATAGCTCCCACCACATACTTTCAACATCATGAGCTGAACCGGTCTTCCATTTCTTCCTCATCATGGTAGACTGAAACCCTCAGAAATGATGAGGCAAAATTAATCCTTCCTCCTTGAAGCTGTCTGTGTCTGTTAATTTGATCACAGCATTGAAAAGGCAACTAATAGAAGTTTCAAGGTGAGGCTCTCCACACAAATACATATATATGTACATTTATATATATATCAATAACAAATGTAAAAAAAACTTAAAAACATCATACCACTTAAAGTTGATTGAAGAAAATTAACTACTTAGTGGGCTGAAGAGATGACTCAGAGGCTAAGAGCATTGGCTGCTCTTCAAGAGGTTCTGAGTTCAATTCCCAGCAATCACAACTATCTATAATGATATCTTGTGCCCTCTTCTGGCCTGCAGGCAAAAACAAAAAACAAAACAAACAAACAAACAAACAAATAAAAAAAAACCACTTAGATTAAGTCTAACAAAATGTGTATAATTTATGTCTGAATTATAATAGGCCAATGAAGAAATCATAGGAAACCTAAACAAATAGAGTATTGCCATTTTAGTAGACTAGAAAACACTAAAGTTCAGTGCATGGGTTTGAATCTGGCTGTTTGATAGACTGGGTGGACAGGAATATAAATCAGGTGAAATTATCCACAATAGGACATATAGACTTTAATAAATCCCAAAGAGGGTGAGATGTGGAAGCCACCTATATCCAATAAGAAGACTGGAAGAAACAGAAATAGAGGCACAGGTAATTTCTACAGAAATAATAACTAAGAATTTTCCAACTCCAATGAAAGACACTAATCTACATGTTAAAGAGATTCCAAGGAGATGTAAAAGGAAATCTTATAGACAAAGACTATATATGAAGCCACAAGAATACAGATTGCCTGCCCATGAATGGCAGACTTACATGGTGCTTCCCAACAGCAACAATAATTGAGAGCATTGAAGAAAAATATTATTTCAGCCCATTAATTTTATACCCAGTAAAAGTATCTTTCAAGATTACAGTATAAAATAAGGTCACCAACTTAAGGAAATCCTGCTGTTCTGCTAGATAGAAAGATAGAAACATTAATGTGCAGGAAGAAAGGTACAAAGAAAATAGGAATTGTGGGCATATGTTTAAATGAGCATTGATTATGTTAAAAAAAATAGTAAGGTCTAACAGAGTAAGCAGAAATATGTATTTAAAGCAGCCACGACAATAACCTGTGAATTAGGAAGGTTCCAGGAAGAGTGATGACAGCACCCTGAAGTCCTAATGTTATAGCAAGGTCTTTTTTGGTTGTAAAACTGTACAAAATAATGTCTACTCTAAGAGGCAATGAGAATGAAACAATGAAAAATAGTCAAGAAAAGTAAAAGAAGCATAGAATGTGCAAAAAAAAATAAAACAAAATAGCATGGTACCTTTAGATGAAAATGCATCACAGTAAGTAAATTCAGTGTTCCAATTTAAAGTAAACATTGTCAAACTTGGCTGAAGATGTCTTAATGGGCTATATACAAAGGCTTACCTTTTAAAAAAGTGTGTTCAAAATTAAAAGATGGGGAAATTGCCAAGCATAGTGTTGCCCACCTTTAATCCCTGCACTAGGGAGGTAGAGGCAAGAAGATTTTTGTGGGCTTGAAGCCAGCCTCACTAAACATAAAGAGTTCCAGGACAGCCAGGACAACATAGAAAGACCCCCATCTTCAAGAAAGAAAAAAAATAGAAAAATGCATATCCATGTGTATATTATCAGACAGACTAAATTTTAATACAATCTTACTAGGAATAAAAAGCTTCATATAAAGACATGTGCTATAATGTCTGTTCTGTTCACCCAGTCATGTATTATTAAACCATATCAAGTGAAACTTTAAAAAAGAGAAAGGAAAGGAAAAATAGAAAAATCCACAATGTTAGTGGGAAATTTTCTAGCTTTTTGACTAATTGCATAGGCAGACATAAATTCAGTACTAAGAGATTTAAACAAAGCCACCACTTACCTTTCCTGAACGGACAGCACTGAACACCCACAGAATGAAAACACACACTTTTTAAGCATCCCGCATCATTTCTCAACTCTGCTCATATCGCAGCTCATAAAGTATATAAAGGAAAGCACAGCACAGTTCAGGAGATTGGATCCACCTACAGTGTGTTCTCTCACTATGATGGAACTAAGCCAGAAATTAATACCAAAAATATAGCTGCCCCAAAATCAGGATATGCCTGGGAATTAAGAAAAATGATCTTAAATAGCTGATCAAAACAGACATCACAATGGTTTGAACCGAGAGTTCATAAAAGCACAGACTAAAACAAGCAGGGGGGGCGGGCAGAAGGAAAGATTTTTTTTTTTTTTACAGCCTGTTTATTTTAGGAAATAGACAAACTTGAAGTTAATTAGCTGGGCAGATACTGCAGAAGTTAGAAAATGAAGAGCAAGAGAAGCTGGGTAGAGTCCATAAAAAGAAGCAAAGAAACTGGTGAGACAGAAAAGAAACATTCAGCAGAGAAAAATCAATACAGTGGAGTTTGCTCTTTGAAAAGACGAACAAAATAACAGACCTTGCAATCTTGTGCAAGGAGAAAGAAAGGGGCCCAGCCTAGGAATGAAAAGGGCCCACACAACAGATGATGCAGATGTTAAATCCTTGAGACGGTTGTGATGAACCTTATGCCAGTAAATTGAAAACGTTAACTGTAATGGGAAAAAAATTCTGAAAAAAAGAAAACCATGCAAGTTACCAAAAATCATAATAAAAAATGAAAAGTCTGAATTACCTTCTAGCCATCCAGGAGATTAAATCGGCAATCCGAGTTTTTCATATAAATTACACACCTGCCTCTTAAGACTTGACTGCCGAGGTATGGCGGCCTAAGGGCAGAGTGCTCACACTTAATATGATCCCCTGGACAGAGAAGGAGCGAGAGAGAAGGAAGCAGAAAGGAAGGAAAGGGGAGGAAGGGTTGCACAGATGAGTTCAATCCCCCATGCCATCCTTTTAGAACATAAAAGAGGAGGGTATACCCTTGGTAGAGAAACCTGAAACTTGATTGGGAGAACTATAGATATGTCTTCATTCCTAAAAATAACCAGCAGCCAGAACCCACCAATACACAACAAGATAGGACAAGGCCAACACGGTATCACACACAACCATGGGAACACCGCTTACTGACTTGCTCTCACTCAGCCTACTATCTGTCACCATCCAGGACCACCTGCCCAGGAGTCGCACTGCCCACAGTGGGCGGGGCCTTCCCATATCAGACATTTAATCAAGGAAACATCCCATAGACACGCCCTCAGTCTGAGGTAATAGAATTTCAGAATTGAGCATTGTAGCAAGCTTTTTTTTTTTTTTTTTTTTTTTTTTGTCAGACTTGTCTTAGACTGCCAGCCCACAAATAATGATACAGTCTTATTTTTAATTATGAATATTTGGCCTTAGCTTAAGCTTTTCCCCAACTAGCTTATTACTTAATCTGTTTTTCTTAATCTCTGTTCTATAATGTGGCTTTTACCTTTCCTCAGTACAGCATGTCCAACTTGCTCCCAGTCTGCTGGTGAAATCCACATGCCTAGACTCCTCCTCTTCCTCTCTCTGCCCAGAAACCCTACCTATCCTCTTCTGCCTAGCTGTTGGCCATTCATCTTTTTATTAAACCAATCACAGTGACACGTCTTCACAGTGTACAACACAAAGATTATCCCCCAACAGAGGTTCACTCTTCCCAGATGACTCTAGTTTGTGTCAAGTTGACAAAACTAGCCAGCATTCCCTCCCTGTTTCCCAGCCCCAGAACCCTCTTCCTGGGATAAGACTACACAAATACAGTGCGCTAGAAAGATACCTCATGATGTTCATCAAACACATCCTGATGATCTTTGTGCTATGATCTGCTGCCTGAGCCCCACTCCCACATCTTCCTCTCAATAAAGTACCACTCTACATTGTCAAAGACACTAGGGGAGAGGCACAGGGTCACCGAGGTAGTACCCTGGTCCTTCCTTGCAAGCCCTCGGCTCACCAGGAGAGACCTCCATGTCTGTTCATATGTAGCGTGAGGCGTAAACATTGAGCACCTGTCTGCACTGTGTTGCCAGGTGGCAAGCCTTATACACAGCATCTCCATTCTCCCCTGCCTAGGAATGTACCAGGTGATCGAGGGCATCATCTCACCTGTCAATGACAGATACGGGAAGAAAGACCTGGTGGCTTCCCATCACCGAGTAGCCATGGCCCGGCTGGCCCTGCACACATCTGACTGGATTCGAGTGGACCCCTGGGAGAGTGAGCAGGCACAGTGGACTGAAACAGTGAAGGTGCTGAGGTAAAAGCTGTCATGTTGTTTCGTGTTAACATCTGCGGATTGAAGGGCTGGCACAGATTGCTGAGGTGGCCCCAGACAGAAGTTCCTAGCTACGACCAGGGAAATGCCTCTGCTTACAGGGAGAGAGACCCGCAGAGCCACCTTTTCAAAGGAGTCTTGATTCCAAGGACTCCAGCACCAGGCCCACTCACCATTTAGCAGCTTTGCAACTTTGAACATGTGACTTAATCTCTCTGAGACTTGCAAAATGAAGACAGTATAATTTTTTTTTTCCAAGATGGAGTTTCTCTGTATTGTTTTGGAACCTGTCCTGGAATTAGCTCTTGTAGACCAGGCTTGTCTCGAACTCACAGAGACCGGCCTGCCTCTGCCTCCCGAGTGCTGGGATTAAAGGTGTGCACCACCACTGGCCAGCATGAAGATGGTATAATTGAATGAAGATTTTTAAAACATTACTATCCTAGATCCAACAAATCACCTTCAATAGCTGGAACCTTTGACTTTTTGTCGATGACAAGTTTGAAAACTGAACCTATATAATAAACTTTTTCTTGCTTGCTTGCTAAAAATAGACTCTAATGTCAGAGGGAGGGGTTATTTTAAGAGCATTATCTTCTGTCTTTTCAGTTCTTACTAGTGTTCAGTGTAGTTAGCACAGATGTTTGAAAGCCCTAGACCAGTCCTGCACATTAGGACAGCGAGCAGGTCACTGTCCCTGCTGGTGGAGGGAAGTAAGGCCGGCCTGCTGCATCACTGGTAGCAGGCTGCTTTGCTAGAAGGCGCTGTAGGACTGTCACCTGTGCAGTCATGCAGGTCCTACACCTTCTGTTAGGAAAGGACCACAGAGCGTTCAGCAGCTTCAGTGCCACCTAAGAACCTGCTGCCAAACTAATAGGACAGATGTTTAGTAACCGGCAGATACACGATCCCTTATTTTTAACCATCCATTGGCACTAAACATGCACCCAGAACATCATTTTAAAACAAGTCCTTCTCACCACTCGCTTCTCCGGGCTAATTGAGAGGAGCAGAAGCAAGACAGCAGATTATCCAGCAAATCATTTACCTTTAATAAGTACTCAGTGACTAGGCCTTTCTTCCCATCCCTATGAGAGCCACAGTTGTCTGGGATGCAGGCTTTGAAGCCAGATTTAACTGAACGAATGACTTGATGAAAGTGATTTGGCCTTCCCTAACCTCAGTTCCTCGCCTTATAAAATGAGGATATCAGCACCTAGCTCACAGGGCACCATGCGGTTTTGATGAGATGGAGCAGGCAAATCAGCCGGTGGATGGTAAGTGCTAACTAATGTCACCTGCCCTGCCCTGCCTGCATCCTCAAATCCCGAAATCCATGCACAGACACAGAGACGAGGACATAGTGATTCACTGCTGCCTCTGCTGCAGAGTGCCCGTGTGAGCAGAGGCTCTGCCAAACACTCTCCTTTTCCCCTGTGCCCTTTGTTCAAATGCCTCTGGACACTGGACACACAGCAGACACCCTAGGTCCACCACCCATGAGCCACCTCAGAGGCTGTGGTCTCGTGGGTCTGGGTGAGGAGGGGAGAGATCCGTATTTCAGTCACTCCTGGTGATTCTAATATGAGCCCCACAGCTTTGGCCACTGAATGAGAGAGAGAATGGGTGTTGAGATCCACTTAAAGAGCAACTGACACATGGTCACAACCTTAGCTGCCAGAATCAGGTGGAAAACTTTCTTTAAGGGTCTCTCCCAAGCCAGGGCTTTCAGATTGCTGGCCCGGACACTAACCATGGGCATCTCTTTCAAGGTCCAGATGATTGATGTTGTGCTATTGCGCTTGAGACTTAGCCAGCAGAGTCAACAGTTTTTTTCAACAGATAGCTGATGAAGATTTTTTAAAAGGTTAAGAATCAGGCTAAAATTGTAAAGTCAAGTGGTTTTAGAGTTACTATAGAAATCAGCCCCAACATCTACTGCATTTGGTGTCCCCTTGATGTGGTCACAGTGGATCCACGACACAGCATAGCAAAGGTCACTGTGATAGATATCAGCTCACCACGGGACTCGGCGGAGACCCTTTGTTCTGTACACGTTTTTGCTAATGTCACAAAGTCTAGGACAGCTTTAATGAGAGAGCCTTTGGTACCTGGGTTGTCACTTTCTCCTTACAGTGGGAAATAACTAAAGAGACCATTTGACAAGAAGTCTTTTTTTACTCACACTTTGAAGGTCTTGAGCCCCCATCTAGCATCGCTATTTCTGGCCCATCATGAGGAAGAACATGAAGGCGGAAGGGTAAAGTGATTCCAATGCACTCATTTCCTGGTGGCCAGGAAGCAGAGAGACAGGGAAGGGTCAGAATAAGGCCCCTGAGGTCATCTCCCCAGTGACCTACTTCCCCCAACTAGACCACACCTTCCAAAGCTTCAGTCACCTCCTAAGAAAGCCATCAAATCTCAGACCTGCCAGTAGCCATCACTGATTGAAAGCCCATCTTACAATGAATAGATCTACAGCTAGGACCCAAGCCTTCAACACATAGGCCTTAGAGAATACACTTAAACACCACCCATAACAGTAACTTCCCTTTTCCTCGTGTCGTGGGGAAGGCCTTAGTCAAAGTGCCACTTGGTGTTGTCTGTCCCCCACCCACATCACCTCATGAGCCCACTGCAAACATGACCTCATGTCCTCATTTTACAGATGAAAAGCCGGAGGCTCAGAGATGCTCAGAGGACCACAGTTACACAGCAAATAAGCAGGAGGCAGAGCACCAGTCTCTAGGCTCTGAAGCCATGTCAGTGCCAGCCTCTAAAGCAGAGGTTCTCAACTTGTGGGTCATGGTCCCTTAGGGCGTCAAATGACCCTTTCACAGGGATCACCTAAGACCATCAGAAAACACTAATATTTATATTATGATCCATAATAGTAGCAAAATTACAGTTATGAAATAACAACTAAAATAATTTTACGATCAGGGGTCACCACAACATCAGGAACTGGAATAAAAAAAAGGTCACAGAATTAGGAAGGTTGAGAACCACTGTTATAAAACAATGATGCTGGCTGGGAATGCGAGGTGGCTGAGTTTTCTTTTGCCAGAGTTATCCCTTACTGGGGGTTCCCTGGGCAAGCTTCCGAAGACACAGAAACCATGCTCTTAGGGTCAGTTCAGAGGCCTAGGACTGGAGTACCACTCAGGCAGGCAGCAGAAAGCCAGCCAGGACCACTACCCCAAGGAACAGAGTCCACAGGGAAGATGTGCTGAGTCCTGAAAGTGAACCTCGTATCTCAAACACAGCTATAATAATGCTCCAGTGAGTACAGGGATGGTGGAGGATAAATTGGCGCACCCAAGAGTGCTGAGGTTACCTGTGTTTGGTGAGTAAAGGAAGTACAGGAGCCTCAGTTTGAAGATAGATTGCTTAAAATTGAGCATGTCAAATTTGCATAAGTCTGATCGTACCTAACATGCTGTGTGACTTCGCTTGGATTAGCTCTCTTCATCTTCATAACTACCCATTGCAGGGATGTGAGGGTGGCAATGCCGTCACTCCATTTGCACACGAGGAACCATCCATGCTGACTGAGACTTGAAATCACTCATTAGGGTGACAGCTAGCAGTGTGGGGGTTGGGATTCAGCCCAAGCTGTCTCTCTGCAAGCCCAGGCTCTTAGTCACCATGCATAGCATTTTGAAACACACATTTATGATAAGAGTGTGTCCTGGAGCCAGATGGAGGCCACACAGTGCCAGGGTTTACTGTATGTAGTTCATTTATCTTCACAGAACCCTAAACCCAGGCATTACCGCTTACACTTTCCAAAGGAAAGAGCATGTCCAAACTTACATCTGTCTGTTTTGGTTTGGTTTTTGTTGGTGGTGGTAGGGTTTTTTATTTGTTTGTTTGTATTTTTTGTTTTTTGACAAGGGGTTCTGGCTAGCCTGGAACTCACTCTGTAGACCAGGCTGGCCTTGAAGTCACAGAGATCCACCTGCCCCTGCCTTCTGAGTGCTGAGATTAAAGGCGTGAGCCACCACTGCCTGTCTATTGTTGAGAGCTGATGCCTTGGGCATCCACTCAACACTAACACCTGTATTTCCAGTAGGGAATTACTGAAAGGTGTGGGCAGAGCAGCATCAGGCTTATCTGGCCACTTCCACCAGCCTGTGTAGACTGTGGTAATGTGAATGATGTAGGACTCTCTGTGGCATGCTTTCTGTCCTACCCCTGGAGCATCTCCTGGCACATGGTGGATCCCCAGTGATTTTTCAGGGAACGGTCTGAGATGTATAGAAGCAAGTCTTACATTGTCAGATGCTGGGATGGTGTTGGGGGTCTAGAATACAGCACACCTGAGCCTATGTGTTTACACCACAGGCACCATCACAGCCAGCTGCTGAAGTCCTCAAGCCAGGTGGAAGACCCAGACCCCAGCAAAACACCATCAGCCTCTGCAGGTGGGTGCCAACCCCCTTATCTACAACGGGGATTTCAAGTGAAGACGGATGAGCCAATGGGGTTTGTCCAGCCCTCAGCATGCACTAGAACTTGAGACCTGCCTGGTAGTGCAGGTCTGCCTTCGATATGTGTACGTGGAGGTGGGAGGGGGTGCCTCGTGTATCCAAGGTCAAAAGGTCAGATTAGACAACTAGTCTTCCCCACTTCCATCCAACCCCATTAATTGTGCTAATTTGAGATTTATTGACCAAAGGAGTTTAGCCACCCTGTGACTTGCGATTGTGACATGAATTACAGTGAAGGCCACACAGGGACAAATGGGTGACTAGTGCCAGGGTTCTTTAAAATCCTTAGCCTTCTGAGTTTAGAAGGATAAAGTTTGAATGAGAGACTCCCACTTCCTAGCAGCCACTCAGTGAATTCCTCAAAGGAAGAAAGTAGTTTTAGGGGAGCTTGAGGTTCTCTTGGGTTGTTATCTTCTTAAATTAGAAACCCTGATCTCCACTCTTCTCCTGCTTGGTAGAGACAAGTCCTGTGATTACAGAATATGCAAAGCCCTGGGGTCAAGGGTCAAAGGTGTGACTCTCAGGAGTGTAGGGTATGTATGGAAGAAAAGAATGGGATGTAAACTGGGAGTCACTGGCCCCACTGGCCACATGCAGGCCACATGCATGGTTTTCTACCAGTGGGCTCCCACCTCTAGTTGATGGGACACTTTCATATCAGAAGGGTTCAAGACTGCCGAGGATAGATGCACCTCAAACAGTTTCTTCACTGCAGGGTTTTGTAGAACCTTTACTGTGTCCACGTGCATTGTGACTAATGAGAAAAGGACAGAGCCTATCACTCTAACCATGGTCTTATGTGTCTGTTGGTCCTCAGAATACTCCCAAGCACACCTCAGAAAGGACTTGGGAATGTCCCCAGGTTCTGAGTTGCCATGTAGCCCTCAGATGCTGATCAAAGATTACACACAGTAAAATTCCCATGAGTCTTGTTAGAAACATGAATTGCCAGACCACTCCCCAGACCTCCTGAATGGGAAAGACACTTGGAGTCTGATGTTTAAGATCACTCAGAAAGTGAGACTGTATACCGGGATGAGAGTCTAAAAAGGAGTCTCAGGGTCACCGATATAATCCATACATGTAATATGTACTATAGTCCTCTGGTCTGTCCTCCTTACCTGTGCGGGCTCCTCCATTTCCATCCCCAGATGTAGACCATGCACAGGATGCCCTCTAACATCATAGACACAATGCTATGTCCTTTCTGCATTTCCTTCTACAAAGTCCTACATGATGCTGGTGGACCATATGAGAGCCAGGCTCTGAGATCAAGGGGAGTAGGCACTCCAGCAGCCCAGCCCATGCCTTGAGCTGGACAAAGGCAGTGGGGTGGAGGGAAATGCAGACATCAGTGTGAAAGGCTGCTTCGTGGAGGAGCTGACAGCTACACCCACGTGTACAAGACCAGTGGACTGTGGGGGTTAGAGCATTCCAAGAGAGGCAGAGATGGGAGAGCCGGGATGTGTGAGCATGGGACATTGTAGACCTGGGAAACATCAGGGACTCTAGAGAGAGGCAAGGGTAGGCAGAGGCAAATGCAGACGGCATGCTGAGCCAGAGCTCTTGTGTTGCCTCTCTGCAGGTGCTTACAGAACCCATTCCACTTCCGCTTGGTGCCCATGCTTCTTCCCCTTCAGAAAATGCCTGTCCTTTGAGGCATTCGGAACACACATTCCCAGTGAAGCCCTGGCTACTAAGTTTGTATAACGTCACCATCTGTCAGAGCCTCTCGCCCCATGTCTCTTCCCTATTTGTTTCTCTGGGGGTCCCCATCCCTAATTGATCCTGTGTTTGGTTACTTTCCAAGATCCACCTGCCTCAGGCTCCCAAATGTTGGAAGTAAAGGTGTCTGCCACCATGTCTTGCTTTTGCTGTGTTATGAAACCAGATCTCTCTACATAGGCCTGGCTTGCCTGACACTGCCTTCCCAGTGCTGGGATTAAAGGCATACACTAACATACCTGCTCGCTACCCCCATTTTAAAAATGATTTTTATTAATTCTCAAGCATTTCATACTTTGTACTTTGAACATTTTTATGCCCCTTACCCATCCCTTCCTAGATCTACTCCCCCATTCCATACCCACCCAACTTTTGTCCTCGTTTTTTTTTTTTTTTTAAGTAGTCAAGATGGCTCAGCAGTTAAGAATAGTTACTGTTGTTGGAGAAGACTGGGGTTTGGTTCCCTTAACCCACATGGCTTCTCACAACCATCTGTAACTCCAGTTTCAGGGGAAATGATCCCTCTTCTGACCTCAGTAGGTTCTTGCATGCACGAGGTATCTATACATACACTTAGGTATATACATGCACATAAAATATTTTTAAAAACATCAAGCCCATTAATGCTGCATATGTACTCTTAAGTGTGTAGCCATCTACTGGAGCATGTTAGACTTACCATGGGCCCACACCCCTAGAGACACCAGCTCTCCCTGTCAGTAGCTTCCCACCCACCTCCTCCATGCAGAGGTTGCAATACCTATGAATTCATGTGTGCAACTGCCCTATTCTGCCTCTGGCAATTTTGCTGCCACATCTTCCAAAATGGCCCCTGAGTCTTGGGAGGAGGGGTGTGTGATAATACATACTCCATTTAAGGCTGACCATTCCACAGTCTCTTACTAAGTGCATCTTGACCTGTTGTGGGTCTCTGTGTTAATGCCATATTCTGCAAAAAAGAAGTTCCCCTGAGGATGGTTGAGATGCACTAATCTATGTGTATAATGAGACATCATTTGGAATTTGTATGATACTGTGTCCCATTAGCAGGGTGATAGTAATAGGTTCTCTCTTAGGGCATTCTGACCTACTTACCACAGGATCTTGGCCGCCAATAACTGCCTAGGCACACACACATCCCTCCCTTTCTTAAACTTTAATCTTGAGACATGGTCTCACCAAGTTGCCTAAGCTGGCCTTAGACTCTTGTATCCAAGGCAGCCCTTGAACTTGCAATCCCCCTGCCTCAGCCTCTTGAATAGCTCAGATTGCAGGCCTATACCAGCAGGTCTAGCTAGCATGACAGTTTTTACAATGGCAGAAAATAAAAGCAACCAAGAATTTAAATGCAAAGGAAGACTGAGTAAATTACAGTGTATCCATCAAAAACATCCCCATCAGAAGTTTCAAGGAGATGGAGAAACACTGAGGAAGTAAGAGAATCATCATATGATTATATACGTGTGTGTGTGTGTTTGTGTGTGTGTGTGTATACATACATATCTTCAGGTAAAAATGAGTGTAATTCCATACTGTTTGTGTATCTAGATCAATATGGAAGCCTAAGAAAATACATAAAGTTGATGTCTGTAGAAGCCAGAATCAGCCTGATGGGCTGCTGCTGTTGTTTTCAGTTTTCAACATTTACAGTTTCCATATGTTCCATCGTGAACACACATTTCATGTTCATCATCAGAAAAAGGGAAAAAAATGAACATTTTAAAACAGGAAGCTTGGATTTCGATGGGATGGCACATATGTTACCAGTGACATATTTATTCCTAAGGGCCACTTTAGGAGCTGTGCATTTTACTGTGTGTTGTCACACTCTGGGATGGCAGATTATACAACTGAGTGCATCAGCAGCAGCAGCCAGATCTGGGCCTCACTGTCACTTCCGTAGTTGACAGACCTCCTTGAAGTCGTCTGTCCTCATGTGGATTGCTGTGGTCCTGGCTGCTTTGGGTGACACCTCAGGGCTTTTAACGACAGCCAAGCTTACTGTCTGTCTTCTGCCGGTAAGGATGGCTCTGCCCATGGCTGGTAAGACTGAGCCTGGTTCAGAGAAATATAAATATATATATATATATATATATATATATATATATATATATAAAACAAAAAAACAGCAAGCATCCAATCTTGTGCTTATTTCACTAGGCATGACTAGTGACTAGTTTGGGTGGTGTCAGGGGTTGTTCCTGGATTCATCTCTGGTGTCATCGTGTGACGATCTCTCTTAGTGTGTTGGTTGGATATCACCATCCATAGCTGTAATCATACATTGCAGGTGACAGGCTTTCTCTCTACCTGTCACTTCCTATAATTTCCATGGAGCCCTTACTATCTATCCCCATCTTACAACTGAAGAAATAGACCCACAGGTCACTTTCTCAGGGTCCCAAGAAATCTAAAATTTACACCCAGGACTGACCAGCCTTGAGACTGATGCTCTTCAATGCCAACAACTTAGAACCATCAAAATCCAGGCTTCTAGGTTCTGCAACATTGTCCTTACAGCTTATATACATTTTGGCCCATCTGCTTTTCAAAGTCCATAGCTACTCAACATCATAGCAGACTGTTCACCCAAATACCCACAGACCTCCTAATTATGTCACTGTGTGGCTGTTAGGCAAGTCACACTGGCAGCCTTTATTCGGTTTTTCATTATTTATTTGGTCGGGGTTGGTGCCTGTGCATGCTGTGCCCACAGAGGCCAGAAGAGGGCTTTGGATCCCCCTAGCACTGGAGTTACAGACAGTTGTCAGCTGCTGCATGGGCACTGAGGATAAAACCCTGGTGCTCTTAACTGCTAAGCATCTCTTCATCCTCCAGCCTATAGTCTTGAATTACCTACTTTGGACTTGAACAGTTATTTGCTCTAAAAGTTCTGTGCCATTTACATGAATGAATTGGAAGGAGCTCTATGAGGCAAACAGCCCAGAGTTGTGGGCGGAGGCACATGTGGCCATGAGAGTTGGCCACTTCATTGTCTTGTCCCAGGGGTTAACAGATGCCTCCAACCTTACAGATGGGCCCTTGACTGAGGGGCAGAGCTCCGTCCTTTCTAGTCACAGCTCAAAGTGTGTATTATTTCTTATTGTCAGTATTAATGAATCTATGTCTCATGTGAAAGCCAAAATGTCAAAAATTTACCCATAAAACCCACTAGGAGAATCTGGGGAGATGGTCACATGCTTGCTATGCCAGTGTGAGGATGTACCTGTTCAGATCCTAACACCTATGTAAAAAGACAGGTGCAGCTATGTATACCTGTAACCCTGCGGGGGGGGGGGGGGCGGGGATATTGCTGGCTCAAAAGTGATGAGCTCTAGGCCCTGCCTCAATGAACTAACACAAAGAGAGCAATTAGAGGAAGAAATTCAACATCCCCCTCTGCCATACACACAAACACACACACACACACACACACACACACACACACACACACACACACCATACACAAATTAAAGGTGGGAAACACTAAGAGAAGACAAGGTGTCTTATCTATTCCCGACCTGTAGAAACAGAGCGGATGTGCCCCTTGGCCCCAGGAGATGGTGAAATCAAATGAGTATCATTGAACCAGTTGTCTGAAAGGCTGAACCCTGGTCTCTTACTGTCCTGCAGTGACTCAATAAATAAGAATTAGAGCAAATCCTCACAGCGTTGGAAAATACAAATCCATACCAAATTAGTAAAGCCTGAACTACTGAATAATTCGAAGCACAATTTTATTGCTTTAGAAATCAGGAGATAATTCATACTTATTGGATGGATATTCCTCGGTAGATGGGTAAATAAGTGGATAAGTAAATGGATTAGTGAATGAATGAATGAAAAGCAGTTAAAACATATAGCACCCTGTGCTGACCATGGTTCTAACTGTCTTAGTTGATAAACTCATCAGGCAATCACTCCTGACAGAAGCCACCAAATAGCAGAATTAGAACGGAACCTGAGACATGTGGGACCATCTATGTGGCCACTGAGAGCCTTGTGAGCACTAGCCAAAGAATTCTCCAATGCCATTGATTAGACCGGTATTCCAAGGCTACAACATTGGGAAAAGTCCCTTTGTGTGATGATATCTGCTGCTGTTAACAGTCCCCTGGCCTGTTGTCTCATGTAGATGAGGAAGCTGAGGCCCAGAGCAGGGAGGACAGTGCCAGCCCCGCAGCAGCTTTTACCCCATGGGGACTGAACCTCAGACCTCTCCAGACACTGCCAGGCTCTCTTCTCTCCCAGGCCAGGCCTTGCTTCTTTGTATGCCCATCCTCTTCCATGACCAGAGCCTTTCCATCATCTCACTGTCTAAGCGAACCCTTTACACGGTGTTTTCCCCCGATGAGTGGCAGCTCAGACTCTCTTCCTTGCCAAGTCTTTAGGGTGACAAAGATGGAAGGCCAGCCTTTGCCATCTTCTCGAATCAGTTTCCGGAAGTACCAGGGACACAGTGTGTGCTTCTGTCATGGCTTGCCTTTCCTGTTCGGATTAGCCAACTCCAGATGAATGGTGTCAGCAAATCAGCTAATCCTTCTCTAGTGCTCCCGGGCTTTCTCTTCCTGTTCTCACCAGCAGGCGGCAGCAGAACCTACAGATGCCCCCACCTAGAGGCTGGCTGCAGTTTGCATCCAGTCTCCCCAACTGAGGCCATGAGCTCTCTCCTAACCTTTCTGTGCCTTGGTTTCCCCCTGCAAAGTGGGCACAACAGACCTACCTCATAAATCTGTTCTGAGGGTCATTACACACATTGTACCTAGTAGTGGTAAGTACTAAGACCCTAAAAAAAATTTGTAACAGTCAGTGTTTCATTAGAATAAACTCTACAGGGCTGCCTCACTGACCAGCTGTCCTAGAGCTTTGTCACATTGCAAAGGAAAATGAAAAGGCCACCCGCTGGCCTTTTAGTCATCCAGAGAGCCTGTTCGTTTTATGCTCAGTCCTCGGGACTTAAATAACAAGGGCTGAAATGGATGTTGGGGTGGTGACTTGTCCAGTGCTTGTAGCTCCTTGATCTTAGGACTTTAAGTCTCACTTCTCATCAGATAATGGACTTTGGGGACAGCATGGTCACCTCTGGGACTTTCCACCCTGGGCCAAAGCAACCACAGACAGGCTTCTGAAAAAGCACTGAGCACTGACAGGCAAAAATCTGTTTTGCTTGGCTTGCCACTTGGCCAATATTAAACAAAAGCTATGATGCTGAAATCTTAGAATTGTAAGTTGTATCACTTCAGATTTCTGGAACTCTTCTGGGATCACCCTTGTTTTGCAGCGCTGCCAGAGCTGAAACTCCTCTGTGGAGCAGATGTCCTGAAGACCTTCCAGACCCCCAACCTCTGGAAAGATGAGCACATCCAGGAGATAGTAGAGAAGTTTGGCTTGGTGTGTGTGAGCCGGAGTGGTCATGACCCAAAGGGGTACATCTTGGACTCGCCCATCCTCCGACAATTTCAGCACAACATCCACCTGGCCAGGGAACCCATTCAGAATGAGATCAGTGCCACATACATCAGGAAAGCCTTGGGCCAAGGGCAGAGCGTGAAGTACCTCCTCCCTGATGCTGTCATCACTTACATCAGGGACCATGGCCTGTACAGCAATGACAGTTCCTGGAAAGGAAAAGGAAAGATTAGCTAGAGGGCCTCCTGAAGAATGGGCAGTTAAGAGCTTTGTTTTGCTTTGGGGTCTGTGTTTTCATGTTTGTTTTGTTTCTATGATGGTAATGCCATGGGTGACTTCCTACTGCAGGAAAAGATTGTTTCTATGGCTGGGACAATCGTGTTATCAGAGCAACTTAAATGGCGTGGCAGGTCATTCGATAAGGCAAAACCTCTCGGGGCCACTGATGGGACCTGCTCCCTTTGTGTAAATGGTAATTAGAGGATGCACCCGGACACTGGTGCTGTTCTGAACATGGCAGGTCCCTGAGGGGTTGGGTCACAGTTGGCCTCATGCATTTTTTTTTTTTTTTAACAGACCAGGTAAAGCATGCTGGTCTTGATTGGCAGGATTTGACAAGGTGCTGATTACTGAACAGTAATTAGCCTTTCTTTGTAACATCTTTGTTTCAAGCAATAATACCAAGTGAGGATTCAGAAATCTGGAAACAGTAAATCATTGATTTTCAGTGTGATCTCCCTTATAAACCATGGCCTGCATGCCTACCTGCCTGTCTGCAGGTGTAGCAGTAAAAAACTTTTGATCACACCCTTTCTATGTTGTGGTCAGGCAAATGTATAAAATTGATTTGAGAGAGAGAGAAAGAGAGAGAGGGAGAGATTCGTGTGATAGGAAATCCGAGGGAACTTAGAGCTCCTGAAACTGGAGTTAAAGGCAGTTGTAAGCCACCTGATGTGGGTGCTGAGAACCAGTCTTCTGGAAGAGCAGCCAGTGCTCTTTACCACTGAGCCATCTCTCCAGCCCCCCCTCAAGCTATATTTTTGATACAGAAAGTATTTTTACACTGCTATACTCTATAAACACCAGGGTTCCCAATACCCTGATTTCTAAAAAGAAACTGAAGGAAAACAGATGTGACTGTTCTAGAAGGTCTTTTGAATATTTTATGACTGCCTGAATGTTTGAATATTGGCAAAAGGATAAATAATAAATCAACATCAAAAAATTGCTAATGTAAAATTTCTCTTTTTTTTCTCTGTTATTTTATTAATGCCCAGTGTTCCGGCTGTTGCTCTATTTAGCTACTGTGAAATTTGTCCTGTTCCAGTCTAAGTGGCATGATGTAACAGTTTGTGCTCTGACTACTAGCAGTAGAGGAATGCCCTAGTCAGATTAACACAGCCTGGAGTCACCCAGAAGGACGTCTAGAATTGAAGCCTGTAGCCAGCAAGCACCATGCCGCCATGGTTTCTGCTTCAAGTTCCTGCCCTGACTTCCCTCAGTGACAGACTGTGTGACCTGCAAGTATAAGATGAAATGACCCCTTTCCTCTCTACTTTGCTTTTGGTCCAATTGTTTTATCACAGCAACTAAGATGAAACTGGAACAGAGAAGGAATTGCTTCTCAGCATAACCCAAACAGTTTTTCCAAACTAAAGCAGTCAGCCATGGTTTTGTGTTTGTGCACCCTGAAAGGTGAGAAGAACGTGTTTGGGATTTGCCACTCCACTCCTGGATTAATCTTTTGGAGTCTCCTCTTTGGGTTGAAGGATTAGCACAGACTCTGAGTCCCTATGCTCTGTTCTGGCATTTCTTTGCTACATATTTAGTGACACAGGAAAGCAATAGGGCAAGCAAGGCAGATCTAGTGCCCCTGAAAACTCCCAGTGTTCATGTGAGCCTTGAAACAGGTAAAAGGAAATACAGACACGTGACTGTCCAATGAGGTCCTGCAGACCTCCCTCCCTTAGGTCCCCGGGAGCCTTGCTCACTCAGGGAAATACGGATCACATAGTCTTGTCTAAAAACTGCTACTGCACATAGTAAGACTTTAACCCCTTTCATCACTATGGGCTGCAATTTCTTTAACTCCACAGTGGAAAGTTTGGTTAGGCATGCTCTAAACTTCCAGCTGTAATTTTCTTTCTCTTTCTCACTTAAAAAAAGAAAGGAAGGAAGGAAGGAAGGGAAAAGATCTATTTAGATCTGGGTTTGAGCTTCTGGTTTGGGTATTGTTTGTTTGGGGTTGTTTGGCAAGGCTTTGCTCTTAATCCAGAATCTCCTGGAACTGGCTAGGTAAGCCATACTGGCCTGGCTCCAGTTTTTCAGCAATCCTCCTGCCTCAGCCTGCCAAATGCTGGGATTCTAAGCACACAGCACCACTCCCAGCTCAGCCCTCATTTTCTTAGACTGGGTGCTCTGGTGTCAGTATCTCCAGCCTTCTTTATTTGGGTCCAGTACCCATCTAGTCAGACGGGAAGGTCAAGAAAGAGATCTTGTCATTTGCAGATGGGAATTGCTATTGCAGTCTGGGGAGCTGACTCCAGGAAGACTCTTGGGCCCCCTGCAAATGAACCAACAGAATCAGCTTTCTAATGAGATTCATGGGCCTCAGCTTCGATCACTCCAAAGGATCACTTGTTTTAGATGTATATGAGTGTTCTATCTGCATGCGTGCGTGCGTGCCTTTATGCCAGAAGAGGACATCAGATCCCACTAGAGATGGTTGTGAGCTACCATGTTGTTGCTGGGAGCTGAATTCAGGTCCTCTCCAAGTGTAGCCAGTGCTCTTAACCCATGAGCCATCTCTCCAGCCTCGATCACTTGTTTTATTAACCATGGAAACTACTTAGCACTCTGATGAGTACTGCCTCTTATCCACTTTCTATGTGGGTCAAAAAGGGAGAGAACAAAAGCTTGCAGTCAGTGGTATCCAGAAGGTGAAGTAGAGAAAGGGTCCACACGTTTGAGAATGGGGTTCTCAGCCTCAACAACAGACATTCTGGGCTGTGTAACTACCTGGGAAATTCGTTCCCAGACCATGCATTATAGAATCCTCCCTGGCCTCTGTGCACAAGATGCTAGTACTATTATGATGTGAGATAATGCTCTTGTACACTGTAAAGATTTGTCACCTGTATTGGTCTAATAAAATGCTGATTGTCCAGTAGCCAGGCAGGAAGTTATAGGTGGGCCTAACAGACCAGGAGAATACTGGGAAGAGGAAAGGCAGAGACAGAGTCGCTCGCTCGCTAGCCAGATGCAGAGAAAGCAAGATGAGAATGCCTTACTGAGAAAGGTGCCAAGCCATGTGCCTAAGCATGGATACGAATTATGGGTTAATTTAAGTTGTAAGGGTTTGTTAGTAATAAGACTAAGCAATGCGCCAAACAGTTTATAAGATAAGCCTCTGTGTGTTTATGTGGGACTGAATGGTTGCAGGACAGGGCAGGACAGAAACTTCAGTCTACAGTATCATTAATAGCTGTGGCAACAACTGCCCAATACACATGTCAAACATTCAGTACACCAGTCCTAACTGGTTCAAGGCTACCATGGAGATGTGGTAAAAGAGGGGATTTCTCTCTCTCTCTCTCTTTCCAATTGAGGATGTCAAGAGGCTGAATATCCAAATGGTCTGCTTTCAGTTAAGGCCAATGAGAGGCCCCCTACCATGAAGTGTTCACTCTAGGGCACACAGCGCCATAGCATAGGAATTGGAAGACCACACCCCTGACTCCCAGGCACCCCAGCTTGCATTCCTCCATCTCTCAGTGCTCACAGCATGTTTCTGGGCTAGCTTTTTTTTACAGCAGAGGATCCCAACGTAGCCAAGCCTTCCGAACTAGCATGTAGGACCTGACAAGTGGAGGCTCACTGCTGGGAGTTGGTTGTTCCCTTGTTGTTATTGAACTTTAGGGTTCATTTGTTCAGATCACACTCCCTGAGGTCCTCACATGTGACAGGGATGCAATGGTAAACAGACACAGCCCCCATCCATTTAGTACAATGGAGAACACACAAGAACTCAGTGATCACAAGCTCAGGTTTTGATTGACAACAGTGGTGAGGGCTCGAAAGGCGACACTGACAAGCTGATGGCCAAAGGCAGCTAGCTCTCTGTAAAGCTAACGAAGCTTGCACTGGAGCGTCCCACTTCTCAACATCCTACTTATATAGGTACCTAAGTTCCTGAATCTTGGTCCTTTTTTTTTTTTTTAAAGGGGTCCCTTTGAACTTGTGCATCGAATAGACTCTCAGAAAGTGGTTTTCCCTAATGGATGTGTTCCAGAGACTTTGGGATGGGTGGAGACAAATGGTTTTGAAGAACAGCATATGCAAAGGCCTTGAGGCAGAAGGGGCAAAATAGGCACCATAGAGAACTATAGTCATCCTTGCCTCTTTAACAAGGTGCTGGCTACTACACTACCTAACAGCAGGAGCCCTGCATACCACAGTCTCTCTGCCAGCCTTTCCATGGGTTGAATAGCCTTTGAGGGCGTGCCTTTGTCTCCCTGATCCACATCTATATTGTGTAGTTACCACCAAACATCAGCTCCTTCCATAATGAAGCACAGCAAGACCTATGCTTTGTATATCTGTGTGTGTGTGTGTGTGTGTGTGTATACACATACTCACATATATCTTAATTTCTGTCACCTGTTCTGTCTCACTGATTCATGTCACCTCTCCTTCCTTAGTAGCAGAAGGGAAAATGTGTATCACTGCTTTGCCCCCAACCCCCATTGCATTTCCTGGCACCATCCTATGACTGATTTCACATTCCTCTGCACTCCCTCAGGTGTCCTCTGCATCTGGATGCCTGGGTATTTTGTTTATTTTGCAAGAACAGAAAACAGTGGCTCGGGCTCCTGGGTAAATAGAATTTCCAGCCTTAAATAAAGGTTCTCCTATGACACTATTCCATACCCAAATGAGAACAGTGCTGTCTCTTTGCCTGAGGAAAGAATTTTTCATTTCTAATACTGTCTGTGACACTTGGGACAGAATGATGTGAAATCCCATTTCAAACCAATAGAGCTTCGGCTTTGCATGGCACGTTTGGTAATTGGGTTAATGCGTGAATATGTATCTCCTTAGCCTTGTCCTCACTTTCTATGCTAACAATGTTGGTGCCCCTCCCAGTTGTAGAGGTCTTCATACATCATAGTATCCAGTGTTACTCATAAAGTTATTTTCTTAGCTCAAACCCTGACATTGTAGATGCAAATATGAGTGACTGATAAATATTTCTCTGCAGTGATTCACAGAGGAACATGCCTCTGAATAGTTTAGTATCATTTAAATAACTTCAGCAAACATTGCTCTTGACAATGCAGGCTGCAGGGACTATGAGAGGGACCCTGGAGTTCACTGGGACTCATATTTCTGAATTAGC